AGAGGACCCCTTCTCTTGGGGGGTGGGTGTGCGAGCCGCGTGAATTTACGAGCCGCGGGCGCGTGGGAATGCGTGTCCGGATTCGCGTGATTTCCGGCTGTCTGTTCGCGATGAGGGACGTGCAGGAATTCAATTCGAAATTCAAGGGCGGGTTCAAGGATGACGGAAAGTCATTCAGATTCGTTTCGAGATTATATTATATTATTCGGAAGATCGGAGGAAAAGAAAAATTATCTTAATTATTTCTTAATTATAAATTTATAAATTTAAATTTGGAAATGGTCAAATGCATATTCCACAGGAGTCGAGGAATATATACATATATATATATATGTAGATATGTATGATAAGGAGAAGGAATCACGCGTGTTAGGAATTGTTGGCAGGATTAAGAGGGTGAAAAAGATGGGAAAGGAGGGAGGGGAGGTTAGAAAAAGGAGAATCGACAGGAAGAGAAGAGTGGACTTTGGTGAAGCATACCAGTTGCGACAGCGGCTTAATACAAAGGACCATCGAGATAAAAGAGCGTGGGTAGTTTCTCTTTTACCCGTCGACTTCATCTTTTCTCGTCGTTCTCCGTACTTCCTTCCCTTCGCTGTGGCATTTCATTGTTGATCGAACATTGAGGGAACGGAGAGAGAAAAAGAGAGAGAGTGAGAGAGAGAGAGGAGAGAAGAGGCGAAGGATGGAACGCGCGACACCTAAGCTCGCGCCTGCTCGTTAACGACGCTGTAAATTACATCTTGGAACTATCGTAATGAATCCTGGCGATCCTCGGATGGATGGATTTCTTCCACCGTTTTTTTTCCTCCTCTTTTATTTATCTCCCTCTCCCTCCTACGCAATCGAACAGCGGCGAGGGATCGTTCGAGCGCAGAGCGAAAATCCCGGTTCTTCTTCCGAGCCGGTAAAAGCGGCGTGTCATTGCGTATTCAGGATACGGCCCATTGAGCCGAGGAATTCGGTGAATGGGGTATGCATCGACCACCGCCTCGATCCCTTGCCGGCCAAGAATTCGACGGCGAATAACTACAGACTATTCCACTTGTACTACGCTGAGAAACGAATGACGATTTTCATCTCTACTGTTCGCATTCGAAGAAAGCGAAAACAAGAAGATATTCACAAGTAATGGAATCGGAATAAAATTTTGATTAAATCATTCCCGTCTTGATAATTGATCGGCATTCTCAAAAGAATCTCGCCCCATTCACGAAAAAAACTCAAACGTTTCCCTCCCGCCGGATGATCCACGACTTTCGATACGATAATAGAATACAAGTAAACGTGTCGATATTCCACGATTCGAGAATAGAGGCGTTCCATACAGATTCCTTCATTAAATTTTTCCATTGAAACGACGGAGCGAGAGCAACGATCATACAAATATTTTCATTAATATCGGTTGTCCCGGCCGCGGAACAGGTATCCTTTGACCACGGCCGCGACTTGAGTCACGTCCTATCGAAATTTCGTAATTAATAAGGCCGCCTAGTTCCCTGCTCCCCCGCCTGTTTCCTTCCCCAAATTCAACGAATCCATTGTCCTATTATCCTGTTAGCCAGGAACGATTGTGTTCCCAAAGACGATCGTGTCCCATCCGTTGACACAGACGTTGCCAACGGCGTTACGATGACAGGCTAGGAACGGCACGCCCACGCGCGGTGACACGAGGTGAATGAAAATGCGAACGAGCCGCACGTTCCACGGTAAGATAAGAGGCAACCGGGTGAACGAAGCGGGTTCCTTCCTTCTCTCTTTTTTTCATCCTTCTTTCATGTTCCGTTTCCCTTTCGTTTCGCGTCGTCGATTCAACCTGATTCGTCGCGAGTCCGCGATTTACTTTCCAGGACCCGGTTCATGGTGGCTGCCACTCGTCGAACCGCGACTAATTTCACTTGCGCTCTCGATACGGCCGTGCCGCAACCGAAAGCGTCCGCGATTTCACGAATACCGATACGGATACGAGCGCCTGGTAATAACGACGTTTGATGGGCGAGAAAGTGATAGCCGTCGATGGGAAAAGTAAGCATGGATTTGTAAGCGTGGATCGTTGCTAATCTTCCGAGTTATTGTTGTTTTTCGAACAGGATTGAATAGAGTTGAGAGATTCTTTGATTAAATTCGACGGAAAGGTAAAAGATAAGTTGATCTTTGGAATATTTCTTCTTTGACGATTGAAATAATTGAATTCGATAGGAAAAGGAATTAAATTCCTTTGATTGTTGACAATTTTTGAAATATAAATTATTTCTTGAAAAGAATTGAAAGTGAATAGAGTCTAATTCTCGATTAAGTTCGAAATGGAAAGATAAAAGATTCGTTGACGATCTTGGAATATTTCTTTTTCAACAATTGAACTGAATAAAAAAAAGAAATTGTTGAGAATTTTTGAAATATAGATTTTTTGATTGAAGAGAATTGGAAAAAGTGAATAGAGTCTAATTCTCGATTAAGTTCGAAGTAGAAAGATAAAGGATTCGACAATTTTTGGAATATTTCTTTTCAAACGATTGAAATAATTGAACTGAATAGAAAAAAGAAATTGTTGACAATTCTTGAAATACGGATTATTTCTTGGATCGATTTGCCGACAAGTTTTAATTGAGGTCATGTGGCATCTATTTTAATCGACCGCATCAACTTGACAAAAATTTGATGCGTTGCACGGATCAAAAATTCATCGAACGTGCGCGAGGATTTTTTAAAAAAGTGATGTTGCAACTACCTTTTAAGATTCAAGAGTCGTGACCGAACGTCCATGTTTTGCAACCACGCTTTTTAACATTTTTTTCCTCTCCCCAAAAAATATTCAATTATTCAATCGCGTACAAATCTAATCTCTTAAAAAAAAAAAAAAAAGAAAAGAAAAAGAACCTTTCTACCCTTCTACTTCTATTAAAAATGAAGATGAAGTTCAGCGTGGATAAAGAGGCTAACCGAGGAAATTTATTAGAGGATCGAGAGAGGGAGAGAGACAGTTGGAAACCGCAGTTGGAAACAAGAGGCCGATAACGATCTCTCTGAATCTCTCTCTCTCTCTCTCCCTCCTCGATCCATGGGATAACAGCTGTTGGCGCGATAATTGCGTCGGCGAGAGAAGTTTGGCCTGAGTACAAGGTGCAGGTAGATGCACCCACAGGCCCGCCACACAGCGAAATGGGGTGGCAGAGGTTCCGTTAGCGGCCGGAGGCTGTGTTCGTTCACCATTACCGTGGAACGCGGAATATGATTACCTTCACCTGGGAACAGACTGTTCCTTCGTATCCCCTCCGGCCCGGCGAACAACCGTGGGCGAAGTTTCCACCGTGTCCCGGTTAGCCGTTCGTACTCGACCGTGTACCGTGATTAGCTAAAGCCTGGCCCTGGCGCACGATTCCCGACGTTACGGGCCGTGAGATCGAGATCATGCGCTCCTCGCTGCATCCGCGCCGCTTTCCACCAGAATCCACCACCAATTCCTCGATCCTCCTAACGACCGATCGCCTATCGAATCTACCGGCTGTTAACAACAGCCTTCGACCCAATAACGTAATACGTTGTACCATATTTACACGAGATATCTTTGTTCCAAACAGAAATGAAATTTTACAATGGATTGATGAGTTTTCCTCCTTCCTTCGAAAGTGTAATAGTGAACGAGAGGCGGGAAATTTGAAATTTGAAAATCACGACGAAATACAAGGCTAATTTTTTAAAGGTTGCGCGTTTTATGCAAATGGTGTGCGTGGCATCGAAAGCTAGTCAGCGCTTGGAGAAGGAACGCGCGATAAAACGTTGCATGCTCGTCGCTACCTACTAATTGGAACATTCCCAATGGATTCGAAAGGAGGAAGTTTACGAGAAGGGAAATTCCTCTTTCCTTTTCCTTTTTCTTACGTACGGTGGAAATTTATCGATCGGCGCGCGTGCTGAGAATAGGCCAACCACGCGAATAACGGTGGTATTTCGTAGAAAAGCGATGGTCGA